ATATCACATAGACATGACACTGGGGAACACAGGTGGAAAACAGAACGGGGAGGGGCAGTAAACTGGGTGCCACCAGAGTGGTTGGAAAGGATGTGGAATCGGAGGATAAAGAGGGGAAAGACGCGTGGATGATGCTGTTCTTGAGACAGGGAAGGACAGTCCCTCAGGTACCATGGGCTGGGGGAATATTGTCCCTACTGATCAGCAACTAGGCCTGATTTCAGCTGCAGAGGCGAGCAGGATCCAACACAGCAGCAAGCCCAGCTCCTGGCTGAACATCAGCACAGTCCTGGGATGCGAGCACAGCACCTACTGAGCTGCTGACTTCCACATCCAGTGCTGTGTGAGGGCTAGCTCATGCCTGGGATTACCAAAATCCTGCCAGAGCCTTTGGACTAAAATCCCAGTTTTCAATCTCGTTGATCCAGCCTTGGAGCCTGGCTGACCTTTTGGGGTCCTTTGGGTCACATCTCCCACCCAGCCCCATCCCAAGGGACCCCACCACAGACAGGCAGGAGCAGGTGCCATGGGGACAACCCTCAGCCAATTAATACTCAACGGGGGAGTTTTCTGGGAAGGAAGGAACAGCAGAAAACAATGTTCAAACTTTCCCTGAGCAGACAGTTCACTCTTGAGAGGGAGCCCAATGCTTGGACCTAAAAACTATACACAGAGATATGTTACATATTTATTCAAGGCAGAAATTGGCCAGGAAATGGCTATAAAACACACATTTTGAATAAAAGGAGGGAGATTTATGGCTCTTTTGCGAATCTGAGTCATATCTTTCTGCATCCCCCAGGCAGGAATACCCTAATCACTAACATACCCCAAACATGTACGCACAGTGGGCCGAGAATTGCTTCCTTCTGGCCACAGCTCCAGCTAAAGACGTGATAGGGATTGAGCTACTTTATCTGACAGTTGGTAAATGAATTGCCAATTCATTCTGAGCTTGGAGGGGGATTTTTTCCCCTTTAAAAAAAGGGTCCTTTTATATGTGTCTTTGATCAGTCAGGGCCTTGACAAATTATTTTCCAAGGAATTTCTCTAGCTCTAATGCCATGAGGAGGGGGAGAAAGAAAGGATTTGCTCTCAAAGAAAAGCTTTTATGTCTCAAAAAGTTACAGCAATATCAGGGGCTTTCCTCCATTTCCCCCTCACCTTCCCTCCTTCAAGAAATGGAGGCAGGTAGCCTTAGGATTTTTCCATCCCACCAAAAGGGAGGAGGAGGATGGAGAGGAAACACTGCCAGGTCGTCCAACCCCATCTCTCCTGGCATGGGGTAGCATCCTGAACTCCAGCACAGACTGAACAGAAAGGCCATGGTCATTATTGCTGCTAATAAAGAGGTGCTGTGGTGCTAGCACAAGCAATTGGAGCAGAGGACAGCTCAACATCATGTCACCAAGAAGCCACTTGCTTGCCACAAACAGCAGGAAAAGGCACTTCGGAAGGGCTGAGATACCAGAAAACACCTCCCCACCCGTACTGCCAGGTGCAGGGGTCACTGCAAAGCAAAGAAAACAACATTTTTCTTTTAATAGAGTCTAGGGCAGGCAGGTTGTCTCCTCCGTTTTTGCCACATTGTGATTTTATCTTATTTATTAGCTCTACATACTCCTCCACTCCAGGCAAGCATCACGTCTTTGATGGGACCCAAAGCAGTGCGGACAATGAGTGGCACAAGCCAAGCATGGGGCATGACTGCTCTTTGTTATTATTAACATACAAAGAGCTTATCACCCAGTTATCTCCCTTAGGTGCCCTCCTGGAGGACAGACTCCCAGTAGCACAGGACCCTATGAGTATAGTCCAACGATACCAAGCTTCACCAGGATGGCTCAGGAACAACAAACATTCAAGATTTACTTCCAGCCCAACCCTGCGTGGACACATACTGAACTTGTCTACAGGAACATTCCCACTGCAATCCCAATAGCAGCCCTGCTGCAGACAAAGCTGGTGGATAAAGCTTTTTGGTTAGGGGCCAGTTGGTCCAGACAATCCGCTGTAGCTGCATTTCCCAAAGAAATGAGCCTAATCAAATCACAGCGGCCGTCTCTTGGGAGCTCTCCAACTTCTGGAGCCAAACTGAACCACCTTCAACATTAAACTGAAAACTTCAGGCTGAGCATTGCTGAGGATCCCCACTAAGATGCTGAGCTTGAAGAGTTTTACAAGCTAGTTTGCTCTTTCAAGAGTACTTGTTGAACTTGTCTTGGCTCACAAACCCTTCAGATTTAGGTTATATATCACTACCTGCACATCTCAAGTGCAGGGCCACCTCTCCTGTTCTTGGAAGCTCATCCTCCTGCAAATTCATCCTCCTGGAAAGAGCAGCAGCCATGTGCAAACAGGCTGGACCCAGCTAATGAAGGCTGAACCCAGGGGGCTCTTGCCCCATCCATCAATAACCAATCAAGTTGTTAAAGCTGTCCTAAAATCCACCCCAATCAGATGGGGAAGGAGATATCATACACAGCTTTCCTGCGCTTTATTAGCAGCTGTGTAAATACAAGTAAAATTCAAGCAAACCAACATTAAAAATAATCCCATGTAAGGATCAGCAATGCCCTGTATGGGTGATAAGCCTGTTCAGACTTCCTCACCAGCAAAAGCCTTCAAGGGTTGGCATGAACTGAAGCACCCTGTCTGGAAGACCGACATTAGGAAAATATTTAAGACTTGTTTTAGATTTTGTTTTTAATGCTGCAGCACAGCTAGGAATGAGGTGACCCTTTTGGTTACTGATGCTGACTCTGCTGTTTTTCTTTTTAAATACGGATTGGAGCTGAGCAACATTTTGGATGTCTTCCCACACACACAAAAAGAGGAATATTAGATCAAGTTCTCTTAACAAAAGTATTCAGCAGCTCCTATAAGAACTACCCTCAACTCCCATCCCAGCAGCAAAGTTTTAACTCCGTGCTTAAGGAGCTTGGGTGTTTCCTATTCAAGGTGATGTTTTACTTAGGAACATACTTTATTGTTTCAGGTGATATGCTTAAAAATTGAGGGGAAAGTACAGTTATTTCTCTGGAATTAAAGTAAATGATGTCATTCAAGTCCAAGCAGTGTTTGGATGCTGGTTATATACACCCCTACCCTCCAAAAAAAAAAAATGTTACCCATAGTAGTCCAGTAGGGGTATTAAATTTCCTTTCTGAAGTGTTTTTGGAGACTTTGAAGGTCACCCAGCAATGCAAAGTTGCCAGACCTGCAGCCCATGCCCCTGGCTGTGCGGCACTGCCTCCTTCTCTACCTACACAATCTCCATGGGAGATGCTTGGAAACAAACCAGAACAGGGTTTTATGGTTTGCTCCCCACACGGGCAAATGCTGCAGTCACTGCCAAGCTGGATTTGTCATCACCACCTTGACTGGCATCGACCCAACAGTAATACTGGTGCCTGTCACTCAGTGAGGCTGTTAAAGTGTCTGTGTACGTGTGTGCACTCGTAACTCACTGACCAGCTCCAGACTGATTACAGCATCATGGACCATCCGTGGTCCATTGCCCCACTGCCTTAAATTACAAGCTCTCCCAGTCTGGAATCACCTCTCAACCCCTGCCTGGGCACACAGAGAGCCAGACTCAGGCAAGGTAGCCAACACTACTCGAACAGCAGCAAATACATCATGCTAGCCCAGCTCTCCATCCAGCTTGGCTTGCTTTCCCCAGGTACGTGCCCCACAAAAGCCATCCTGTGTTTTAGCAGGGCACGGTGTTTCTAATTAAAAGCTCTGATGAAGAAGGTGCATGCAGGTTCATTAAGTGATCTTGAGATGGAAACATGCTCGGTGATCCCCAGCCCAGGTTTCTGATGAATGTCAGGACCTGTAACTGCTAACAGGGAGACAGAGAGGCACCCGCCCTCAAGTAGGCAAAGAACCATTAGATGAGAGCACACAGACTTTGACTTTTCTAAGCCTTTGGCAGTCTCCCATAATACTTCCACAGACAAATCAGCAAGCTACAGAGCAGATTAGCAGACAACAAGGTTGGTGGAAAGCTGGCTGGACCATCAGGTGCAAACAACAATGATCAGTGGTATCTCTCAAGGGTCAGAACTGGCACCAGTGTTCTTTGGGATCATTATTAATGCCCAAAGGTAAGAGGGCAGAACACACCCAAGAAGTTCACAGGTGTTACTGAAACAGGGAGCAAAACTCTGGAAGGCAGAGCTGCTGCTCAGAAGGATCCCACCAGAGAAGCGGGGTGGTAGGAGCCTCAAAAAGCACAACAAAGGCAAAAGTGAAGTCCTGCCTCTGGGATGAGCAACCCCATGCAACAGAGCAGGCAGTAGAACTACCTGGAGTACTGCCTCCAGTCTTACTGGTCATGAAGGGCATGCCAGAAATCCAGACACCAACAGGAGGAAAAGAGGAAATAATACTCCACTGTGACCATCTGATTACCTCTCAATGAAAACGTTCAACTGGAAACCCCAAGGACAACAAACATGTTTCTAATTCATCACAACCCAGGCCTGAACAAAGCTGAAGTGAGACACTGATGACTTGTGGTACCCTAGAGCTAGCAATGGGGTTAGAACAAAGCCTCAGTGCTACAGACACACACTGGTAATTGCATCCACCACATGCCAGACCACACAAAATAGAGTATGAGCAACGGTACATTATTATTATCATGATAATACAAATAATATGCGTATTTGGCCTTACACAACAAAAGCATCTCAAACACCAGCATTTATTAATGTAAGTACAACCTGAGCTATCAGTCACACGCCATTAAAGAGCTCTCTGTATGCTTCAACCCCAATTTGAGGTTGTAATCTGCATTCAGAATTCAGGTAACTTCCTTTTTTCCTTAAGACAGGTTAAAAAATATTTGTTAGGGCTGAAGTGGAGAGCACCCCCTCTGCACACACACAATTACCCAGCCCTCAGTGAGGGTGCTGCCCAGACTGCATCGAGACCCAATCATAGAGACCAACTCCCATGCCCACATCACACCCCCATTTTTTACTTACTTAGGCTTAAAATGTGCTCCAGCACAGTGCTGACATGAGCAGCCAAGCTCTCTTCTGAGCTCACACCACCACCAAGAGCTGTGGTTACCAAACCTCTGCCTTTACTCCCCGTGGTGGGAGAACTCACACAGGTGATAGCTCTCACCATGGATGATGCTGGTGCAAGCCTTAGGCACTGTCTCCAGCTGCTACTGCCTAATTCAGGGCAGCTGCATGTCCCACCAGCCTCTCCCCATGCTGATGGGAAGGCACAGGCATCACCCAGGTGTTCCCAGGAGGGGGAAAATGCCAAGAGGACACATGGCCAGAACACCCTTGCCAAGCAGTTGTCCCACCACCAGACCTTCTGCCCAAAGACAGGACCCATCACACCTAAATACATTTATTTATTTGCTCAGGGAGATGTAACACATGCAGTCTGTGGACTTCTCACTATCCATTATCATAGCTGAGTCCTCCCAGGTGCAGGGCAAAGCCTGCAGAAGTGACCGCAAAGCAGAGACTGAAGCAGCCGCCGGGGCCGAAGGATTTGTTTCAGCCAAACAAAGGAAGTGGAAGGCCTGAGAGCTGCCGGGTGCGAGGGTTTCCAAGTGAAACACGTCAGGGTTTCAACCTGAAGTGACTTGGGGCGGAAAAATTTCCTTTGAAATTTCAAAAGGGTAAAATGCTCTAAACATAAGCAGAATATTTCTCCATTTTTTCAAAGGGGCAGGAATGTATTCAGTCCACTTTCTGAACGTTTTCCATTCACTTAAAACTTAGAAAACTTTATTACTCCAAAAATATGTAGCAAAGGATTCCACTTTTCCAGAGAGAACTCAAAAAAAAAATGAAAAAAAAAGAAAGCAAAATATTTTTGTCTGGTGATGAGCTCTAATCCCACCTCCAGACAAGCCATTTCTTTTCTCTGCCTTGCTTTCCTCTCCAATAAAATTTCCAGCCTTATTTTATAGCCTAAAACTCAACAAAGAAGAAGAAAAAGAAAATAAAAACCAGAAAAGAAAGAAAAAAAAACTAAAAACCCTCAGCATCCTTTGAGAGTCTCATATAATCACAGGACTCCAGGAACTTTAAGAGAGAGGGGGGAAAAAAAAAAAAAAAACAACAACACTTTGCAAATCACATGAGATCCATCATAAAATTGTCAGAGTTGGCAGCTCTGTAAAAATCTATGGTATTGTGGGCTGGATTTATGGGCAAGAATCCTGAGGCTTTGGGTTGTTTTCTCCCCTCAGCCCTGGAGGCTCAAAGGGTGGCGGGGAGGGAGGACAGCAGCCTCGGCGGAGGCTGCCCTGCTCAGGTGGCCTCATCCCGAGGAGGAACCTCGCTGGTCCCAGCTCCCGAAATGCCAGCTCCCAAAAAACACCCCATGTCCTGGCTGCCGAAACTCGAAAACAAACTGATAAGGGCAAACAAAGATGTCTCTGTTTGTCTGCCGGGGGCATCTGCAGCCTCCCCGGGTACAAAGGATGGCAACTGCAGGAGGGTTTTAGCCCAGGAAGGCAGCTGAAAAAACAGCGTTTGCGACCACAGCCTGCGAATTGGTGCTCGCTCTCTGAAAGATGTTTTTTAGCGGTGCTTGGGTTTCTCTCTCTTTCCTCCTCGGGTCGAAGGAATTGCACAGCCTGCACTTATTTATTATGTTTTGTATAGAAAGCTCTGTTTTTCTGCCTGGCGATGGTTCACGGCTGCTTTCCATGCTGCCAGAGCAGCTCCAAGGTCATCACCGAGAGGTTCGAGGAGAGGGTGGGCCACTGCCACCTCCTCCTCCCAGCTCACCTGGGGACACTGTTGGCCCCTCAGGTCCCCTCCAGGATGTGGGGCCAGCAAGTCCAGCTCTCCAGGACTCTTCCTTCCACCACCTCTGTCCCCAAGCCCATGGCAGAAGGACCCCCAGTGGTGCTTGTGGTAGTGGGAAGCCACCAGACCACTCTGAGGACCTTTTTATGACACCTAGGGCTTGCAGGCAAGAAGGGAAGGGTGCATGGTGGTGATGCGCAGTCCCTCACACTAGGTGGGGATGGTCCTGCTCAAATTTCATGGCCTTTAATGGCTGAATTACCAGTTTAGCCCTGAAAAGAGTAAAATCTGCAACCTCTTTTCACTGTTTCTTTCAATGACATCAATTTGCGTATGATTTTCCCCATTTTTCTTTATTATTATCATCATCATCCTCTGCTGAGGAATAAGTCCTTAAGAAGACAAATGAGGGAACTCACTTCAGGCTCTTTATAAATAAAATCACAACCAAAGGGAGCAAACACCCCTCTCCTTGCCTGTTCCCCATATAATTAGGGCCCCGCATTCAGCTGGTGAGCTGGGAAGATGCTCAACCTATTTCTCCAGGCTCCGCACAGGCAAGGCACAGTCACAACCAGGCTGGGACTCACCATGGGCTTCTGGAAGAGTCACAGCAGGCTACACCGTGTCCTCCTACCCACCCTGTCTTTGTCCCCAGTGAAGCAGCCCCACTCTGCTCCCACTGATGCCCTCCTTGCTCCCCAAACCATGGTGCTCCCCAAGGCTGCTCTGGACCTACCCCAGTTTTTGGCAGCCAAAAGCCAGCCATCAGATCCCATCACAGAACCCACCGAAGAGCCCTGGCATTTCCCCGCAGAGCTAAAATAATAATGCAAGGAGCTCAGAGGAAATTAGTCAAGTTGAAGGCTTGAGGCTTTTACTTCTGAAGCTTGAGAAATAGTTTACCATGTGGATTTAGTTTCCCTAATGCTCTTTGAGATGCATGGCACACATTTCTGGTAAGACCTCTTTACTTACAGAGTAACCACTGGCCATTTAATTACATGTAGATTACCATATAGTGATAAGATGATTACATGATTAGCAGTGGGATAACGAAGCCTGGCAAGTACAATGTAATTGACAGCTAAATACAGTGTAATTTTTTATTCCTTAACTCGAAACGCAATTTACTCCATCATTAATCTTGGGTAACTGCATATTTCGGGGGAACAGCATGTGATTTACTGAGCAATGAGACATCCGAGTCCTTCCCAGGGGGTGGCCCCATGAAGACAGGCAGCTTTGTGTGCAGCTCCACATCCCAGCCGTGCCCACAGAGGAGATGCATGAGATTGGGTCTCCTGCCAGCAGGCACGGCCGGTACCCAGCGCAGGCTCCTGTGGGACTCCTGTGGGAGCACTGAGGTCGGTCATAGGATACCATCCCCAGGTCCCAGGTGGGAGCATCATCGGGTAAAGGGGAGCTTCAAACCTGCTCACTTTTTGCCCTGTTAGGACATGAACATCCCCAGTGCCCAGCCACGTTGCTCCCTGGGGCAACCAGGGCCACATGAAGGACACCTTCCCGCTGGACCTCCTGGATGTCACCTATTTCAGTCCAATTTCTTTCTCTGGCACTGTTTTTCCATCTTCTTCCCATTCATGAAGTATGCAGTATCCTGCCCTCCCTTGCTGAAGCTGGGGTATGGTCCTGCAGCTCCCCAAGACCAGACTTCCCCACAGACCCCATCCAAGTGGGAAGAGGGGGCAGCTCCACATCCACCAGCTCCTCCTGGTGCCATCCCTGCACCCACCTGGGTTCCCAGGGTTGCTCCTAAATCTGAATTGGTGGGAAAGTGACCCTGAGAACTTCTTTTGCCCAGAGAAGCTGTGGATGCCTCATCCCTGGAGGTGCTCAAAGCCAGGTTGGAAGGGGCTCCATGCACCCTGGTCTAGTGGGATGCATCCCTTTCCATGGCAGGAGGTTGGAAGTGGGTGTTTTATAAGGTCACTTCAAACCCAAGCCACTCTATGATCAACCTTAGGGCTGGCAAGGGGAGATGGTTTGTGTGGGAAGGACCTAGGGGACCCACGCAGAGCTGTAGAGGAGAAACATGCAGGTCTGGACACAGCAAGCTCAGCCCATCACTGCCTAAAAGCCTTCCCCTCCAGGACGGTGTTTATTTCTCCAGAAATAAATAAAAAAACAAACCTCTTGGCATCAAGCAGAAAGAATAAAAAAAGAAAAAAAAAGAAAAAAAATGGTGGGCAGGTCCCTTGCACTTTGTAGCATGTGGTATTTATTAGATATAAATTGGCACACAAGAATAGGAAAGCATAGCTAGGTAGGGATTTTTTTCTGAGCTACATGGTTTGGGTATCTGTCTGTGGTCCCTCCCGCACACATACCGGCATTCCCACACATTCACACCCACATTCTCCTCTGCTGACACACAGGTATACCTCTTTTGTTCATTAGAATTGTTTTTAATTAAAAATATATGTAAATTATATAGAGTGTGGGCACAGCTTGGAGAGAAAAAAAATGAAGAAAGCAAAGTTCAGTTTCAATAAACCACGAGCCCCTCTGAATCAGCTGCTTTTCTGGCATCATGACACATTAGGACTTACTCAAACTCCCATGTATAAATAAATAGAACCAGTAAATTTTACACCTGAAGAGTCCTTGCAGTAGGCATTTTTACTTACAAGCATTTGCTTTTTCCTTTCTTCTTGCTTCCCCCACTCCCAGCCCCCTGTGATCATTTTCTGCTCCGTTCAAACACATTTACTAAATGTCTCGGCATACCCAGACAGATATCCCTTTCTCTTTATTTATTTTTATTTGTAGAGAGGAAGAAAAAGAATGACCAACAAACTGAAAGTTGGGGATTGCAAGCAATCACCACCATCATGCTTACAGATTTTCCTTTTGCTCCCCGCATCCTCTCCCCCTCTCTTCCCCCTTGCAGCTGGCTCACAGCCTCGCTTTCCACGTGCTGGCAAAAAAAATCAGCAGCAGACAAGCTGTGGAGGTTTTCAAGTTAGAAAGATACCCCACATTTCTGACAGAGACAGCTGATGGACTGGAAAGACCAGGAGGTAGGAAGGAAAGTAGGAGAGAATTGGGAGTGAGCAAGGGGGTGAGGTTCCTAGGCTGGTTCCCACAGAGATGCGTTTTGGGGGACATATGGTGATTTTAAGGAAATAGCAGTGAGCAATTTCACTCGTGGTACAACACCTGGGCGAGGTAGGTACCTGTTTTTTCCTATTTGCGGGTTCAGAATACCTCTTTTCTGTTGAGAAGCAACAACGATAACACTAATGAAAAAAAAATAAAAACCAGCACTCCAAGCTCCACCCTTGGTGAAAAGGGCCGGTGTCTTTTTTTTTTTTTTTTTGAGAAAATTGAAAGAAAAAAATATATATATTATTATTTATTATATAACATCGTCAACATCAACACCACAAAAAAAAAAAAAAAAGTAACATCCTAGTTGTTTTCATTCAAGCACTCTGGCCGTGTTGATAAAGGCAGCAGGAGTCTCATGTCCCTTTGAGAACAAAAAGAGCAGGGGCTGGGGAGGGGGGCGATGGGGCAGGGGGTTCGCTGTGGCAGCAACACAAGTTGGGTGGTGGGCACGGTGGGGGGCAGCGTGCCAATCTGTTGGTTTTCCTTTTGAACCAAAAGAAAAAAAGGGGGGGGGGCAAGTCACACCGAGGCCGATGACTGCTTTGTCCGTGGTGTCAATCAGCGTCCGTCCCTCTCGAGTGCTAACGGTGAACATTCACTTCAAGGAGTCTTGCAAAACGCTCTCTTTTTTATTACCGACAGGGTGTTGTTGTTTTTTTTTTTCCTTTTTTATTTCTTTTTCCTCCATTTCTTTTGCCGTGGCTGATGCTGTGGCCGCGGCTGCCCGGTTAGCTGTTCTCGCTCCACTCTGGCACCATGCCCACGCCGTGCACCGAGTGGTACTGGTGGGGCGAGAGGGTTCGAGGCACGCCGTGGGAATAGAGGAACTCTGCGGGCTGGAGGCTGCTGGGGGGGGACTGGATGCCCGTTTGGGGTCCACACTGCCGGACGATGGGTTGGTGAGAAACCGAGGTCTGGTGCTGGAACATGCTGTGGGTGTCTCCTATCTGGGGGGAGGTATGGTTGGCCACGCTGCCGAGCCGGGGCATCAGCGGCCCCGAGGTGAAGTGGGCAGAGAAATGCTGGTAGGGTAACCTGTCCATCGGCTGCATGGCAGACACTGTGCAACTGCTGTAGGAGGGCACGCTGGGCCACGTGTTACAGCTGATGTCTTCCAGGCTGGGCACGGGGTCCGTGGGGGGAGCGGAGCTGGCGTACATGCACGCTTGGCGCTGGGCTGATTCAGTCCTGTATGAAGTGTTCAGTCCCTGCTGCTGGGGGTAACTGGACCTGTAGAAGGGATCCTCTTCTGCCGGAGAAGTCTCCATGTAGGGCTTCTTGTAGGGATGCTCGGTGGTGGAACATTCCTCATCTGTTGGGAGAGAAAACTCCTGGTAGCCAACACCAACACCATGCCCTGCAGCCCGGCAGGATTATCCTCCTCCTGCATTATCCTCCTCCTGCCAGGGGCACAGCCTGCACAGGAGTGAGTCCAGAGACTTCCCCCAGCTGTGTCACAGCCCTTGAGATCGGTCTGAATGGATCCCACTGAAGTTGACCACCGTTTTTGTCCCTGGACTGGGGAAGGAGGGGGTTAGCTGGGAGCTCTGTGAGCAAAAGCAACACTGTAAGATGCCAAAGGGACCTTGAGACTTATCTTTTTTGGTGATAACCCACACAAGCCACCACATCACCAAATTTATCATCTCCTGCTGCTGCCAGCACTTCGGCCAGAGCAGCACCTCCTGCCTGCAGACACAATACCCTAGCAGAGGTCCCCACACCCAGAGCATCAGAGCCGATGCTGTTAATTAAAAAGCTTTAACAATGATACATTATTTTTTTTTTTTTTGTGATAAGTGACAGAAAAATAGAGATCATAATAAAAAATCCCACCGGGAGGGCACCAGCTACGGCGGAGTTGAGGCAATCAAGATTTGGACATTTATAGCCCTCAGCTGTGCCAAGGGGCACATAAATCCACGCAGAGCTGCGTGCTGTGGCCAAGCAGAAAGAAAAAGAAAAGTGAATTTCCCATCTCAAAACAACAAGGCGCAGCTTGCAGAGCCCTTTGTTTCCCGCAACAACGCCGTGCCAACAGAGGGAAGGAGATAAACAATTTAGGTGAAATCTCTTGGGGGCAGCAAAATGAATAAATGAATGTGTGCTTATTTATTCATTCGCAGGGTCACCAAATGAAATCCAGCTCTGCTGGGATGGATGGCAAAGTGCCCGGGGACGAGCAGTTCACCAAGAGATTTTAAGGACAGCGAGGCAAGCGAAGGGGAGCTTGTTCTGACCCAGATTAACTTTGCTGCTGCTGCTTCAAAAGCAGGATTCCTGGTGCAAGCAGAAAAACATCCCACTTAGACTACAGCCTCTCGGGACAGAAAGCCCTGAACCCTTTCAACAAGGGTAAAATGGGAAAGAATACTGCAAGAAATAGCCCTCTTCAAATTTCCTCAACTAGCATGATTTGAGCTGCCTTTCTTTTTTTTTTTTTTAACCCCTGAAACACGAAAGAAACAAACAGCTCCATAAAAAGGAGGACAAAAGCATCTGTCCCCACCAGAAGGCACTTGCACAAACTGCTGTGGTTTTGCTCCACGTCTCCGCTTCGGGAGGTGCAGACTGGCACTGTTTGTTGCTGGCAAACTCACCTGTACCCTCCCTGCTGTAAACAGCCGTGTTTCTCCAAACTGCACGCTCTCTGCTTGTAAAATAACCCATTACTCCCACTCAGGTGCCTACCAAGGGCAGCCACTACAGCTGGGCACGAGAACCAAGCATTGCAATAGCATCTTTAACACAGCTGAAACAGTGAGCAGAGCAAAAGCATATCACCACCCTTACTCCTGATCAGGCTTATTTTTTATAGGGAAAATGATGAAGCTCCCTGAAGGATGGAAGCTGGAAACACTGCCTTCAGCTCCCTGCTGAGCACGGGTCTATCGCAGGAGGTACATATGGCTGGAGTAGCTCTAGCTTTTACAGGCAGCCTAAAAGTTTTGGATCCCTAACCCAACACTGAGTAATAAGAGCACTAGGGTGGAAAAACAATATCTTGTAAAATGAAGCATTGTTCTGCTAATAAAGTTTTCAGCATTAAACCGCATTACTCTGCTGGCATTAGAAATCACTGGCTTGGGGTTTGACTGTTTATTTTATTTTTTTTAATATATACAACACAAAACAGTCGAACCCTGTTTTTCCATTGTGCAAAAGTGTGCCTGACTTACAACCTGAGGTTGCTGATTTTTCCATTTAGCCCAGACATTTCTCTCCCTGCCACAGCACAGCCAGGCAGAGCCGCAGAGCCACGGATCCTCTTCCAGAGCACACCGCAGGTGAAGAGAGAAAAATAAAAACAGCCAGCACATTGGTGAAAACCCATAGGTGCCCTCTCTCCTTTCCTAAGCTCTACCAATTGCTCTGCTGGCCTCTTTAGGCCCATTCTTACTGATGTTGAGCGTAAAAAGGGCACTGTCACTCCAGGTCTTAAGGTGTTTAAGCGCAGCGTGCGTGTCTCCAGAGGGGATGCTAACAAAGGTCACAGCCTACCCTAACCCTTCTTGCCCGCCCTCTGGCCCCTCTTCCTGATGCTTTTCCCACCTGTGTAATCTCAAAGTGCTCAAGAGAAGAGAACGGTCCGTCTTGAAGGTGGGATGATGCAGAGCAGAGGTCCTCAGCTGATGGATCTGCACTGGTCCGTGGTCCCTACTCTGACCTGGCATTACCTCACCACTCCTCACAGAGGAAATCAGAGCCAACCCCAAGCAGGCGAAGGTCATCCCCACAGATCTGGGGGCAGGCAGGGGACTTCTTCAAGTAAGAGCACGGCAAAAAGTGGAACAAGCCAAAGAAAGCTCTCCTGCAATGCTGGAAGGAGGCATTCCCATCCCGTTCTTATTCAGAGTCATCCCCACCTGCTCCAGGAGCCTGGGCACTGCACCCCAAGGCTACGTCCTCTTCCTGAAGGTCCTCTCACCTCCTCAGCATCAGCAGGACATAGTAGAGAAGTATCCACTCTGCTCCGGTTTCTTTCATGATCCTGGCTCCCTAACAGCCCTTCATTGTCCTTCCCCTGGTGGCAAAGCCCCAGGAGGTGCTGCGCACCCTTGGGAGATGCTGGAGGTGCTGGGAGATGCTGCCCATCCTCACTGCTATTCTTGGAAGCCAAGGGTGGCAATCAGCTCCTGCGACCAGCCCCTCGATACTGCACAAACCTCAAAAAGCAAAGGGTTCTGCCAAGCAGGGGGAAGCTGCCAGCACCCGGGAGAAGCTGCTCCGAAGTGGGTCCAAGGAAAACGGAGCCTGCAGAACGGGGTGGAAACTGGCTCCTGCGCAAGGAATTTGATGATCTATCTAACGAAGGAGCTTGAGCGAGAGCGTAAGCAGTTCCAAGGTTTCCGGTATTTACTACTTCCAGCTGGGTTGTAAATACCACACAAATGGCTTTTTAAATGGAATTTTCCCAATTCCAAGATTAGGGCCATCCAGGATGAAATGCAAACATACAAAATCTCTGGACTTCAGGGTGTCCAGGGCCCATCTCTTCCCTTGGTGTAAATCAGGGGAGCTCATTTCAGATTCATGACAATCAGCTCCCCAGGATGGAAGACAATGCAGGACAGGGACCCGATTGTTTGAGCTTTTAAAGCTCACCCACACTTTCAGGACATTACAGTAGGCTCATCCCATCTTTGTCAGGGAGGCACAATGGATGATTGTCATTAACGCTGTTGTCTTGCTCAGTCTGGTTTCTTGTATGAATCTAGCATGAGCATGAATAGCTAATCACAACGTGCAAAGCTGACAAGGGTTGTCAAAGAAGAAAAGAAAAAGATGGATTTAACCAAAAATGTGCATCTTTAAAGGGCAAGCAGGACACATGTCCTAGGACATGAAACCTAAGACGCGTTGTGGCCTATGCTATTGTTCCAGCAGTCACAAGGTTTGCAGTGGCTGTGATGCATTGCAGGGGAGCAGGGGGGCAACAAAACCCAGCACCAAAAGCTGGAGCCTCTTCCAGGGGCAGCAAACAGCCCCTGCAAAGGCACAGGAAGCATCTCCTGATGAGACAGCAGGGAGTCTGCATGAAGCTGCTGAAAGAACAGCCCCACCAGCAGGGCTGGGCACACACTGACCCCCTGAATATCTCCCCACCATGCAGACAAATTATTCCTCTCTGTTGGTGCCCCAGCAGCCCCCTTGTTCCGGGCTCCCAGCTGCCTCTACCCAAGCTGCAGACAGCTCTGGACACAGCATAGCTCAAGGCTTGGCAAACTCCTTGCATCTCCCAAACCGTTGGCAGGACGAGAAGCAGGTCCTCCAAGTAGACCTCCCACACCTGATTTTTGTTCAGCTCTGGTCCTAGAGCTTCTCCAAGTGACAGAAAAGCTGGGCAGGGAGAAATCAGCTTGGGAAATGAAGAGGTTTTTCCTCCCTAACAGCGCCTGTTATGGAGGAGAATGGGGGAAAGGCATTGCTGCATCCCCACCAACCTCAGCAGAGCAGGAAGAGGATGAAAGATATATTCTTCCCCATGGGCAGGGTCACGTCCAAGCTAAGAGGCTGAAGGAGACAGTCCTCACTGGCTGGAGCCGGTGGATTCTGCTGCATCCTTCTCCCTCAGAGTGCCAACATGACAACTTTTATAACCTCCCCGGGGAGAGGCTGTTCCAGTTGCCTCCTGTTCAGCATCGCAAGCATCCCAGAAATCTGCCAAGTGGTTGAGATTGTGTAAGGCTGGGAGGGAGCAGGGGTTTAGAGGGATGACTTTTCAGTTCACAGGAAGTCTGAGGGGAGAGGATAACACAAGGGAAAACAAGCCCCGATGCCCTAATTGGGATGTGGGGCTAAAATCAAAGACAAAGCCAGCTGCCTGCTGGAAAATCCTTTGGTCTCCTCCAAGCACAGCAACGAGAGAGGGAGAAGTGGAGAACTAGAGAAGAGCTGAAGCTTTAACAGATCTTTGTTACAGCCTAAAAATCCACATCATGAGCTGAGGCCACTCCTTAGTAGGACAGAGTTTTGGAGTTCATACATCCACCCAAGTCCAGCCTGAGTGAAATGCCATAAGTGATCTCAGCGTGGAGCTAGGACACAACGCAGGACAATTCCTGCCTCGAGGACTGCATTTAGCATGTCCAGAAAGTGCCTGGAGCAGCCCCCTCGTCACGCCACGCTGGGGTCATTCCCAATGCTGTGACCCCAGGTCCCCAGCCAGGCACCAGGAATTGCCAGAGCTGTGGCTCTGGGATGTGTCCTTCCTTCCTCGCCCAGAGGAGGATCAGCTCCCTGAGACAGAGGAGCCTTCGGAGATAACAGTCCCCTCGCAGCCCTGCATGCTCTCCCCTAATGCAGCTCTATATCAGATCCCCAGAGCTGAATCCATCTTGACTTGACAGCTAAGAACAACACTGTCAAACACGGAGCTAAATCTTGGTCCTCAGTCACCAAGAAAGTAGAAGTCAAACGAGGTTCCTTTTAGCTGCTCGAACACAGATCTATTCTTAACCAAGCCTAAACGAAGACTTGCCCTCCTGATTAAAAGGGCTCCAGACAAATATCACAAGATGTCAAAGCTGGAAGGAGCAGTATCCGAGAGACTATCTTGGAAAACAGGGGTGGTATTTTTTTCAGAAGATACAGACACCAGCTGGTCTCAAACCCAGGCGAACTGCCCTCTGCCCCTGCAAACACTTACCCACAACCACAGCCTTGTGGAGGGGAAATAATCTGCTGGAGACAAATCCTAAACTGACTGAAGAGGAGCCAATGTTTGGGAAGTCGATGATCCAATAAAATCAATAAAATTCCCAGTCCAGAAAATAGACAGAGGTACGTTAGAACTCAACATGCTGCTACATTTTTTCCTGAGATCGTAAGGCTTGTTAAAAATTGTGCAGAAAGATTAAAGCAGGAAAGCAGGAGAGGTGTGAGGAAGAGCTTAATATTTCACTGGAAAAGGGGAGGCTGGAAGAGGAAGATAAAGAGAAATATTATAGGTAGGATTATTTTCCCTCAGTTTAATAAAGACCCTTGCTCAGCACTAGAAGAAAGTACCACGCACAGCCTGAGCCTGATACGAAACCTTGGATCACGTTCTGATTTATCTGAACAGAATTGCTCATCTCTAGTTACTTTTTTTTTTTTAATTAATTTCACTTTGCAAAGAGCTGCTTGGCAGCTTACGTTGGCTCTCTGTTTCCCATTAACTTTGTGTTTCTTTCCTTTAAGCCCTGGTGGCTGTTTTCGATTTGCTTGGATGCATGGGGAGGGGAAAAAGCACAGCGAGGAGAGCCAGGGCTCGGGCTCCTGAGACAGCAGCCTCGCGGAAGAAGCCGGTGGTATCGGACAGGACGCTGCTTCTCTTTGATTAAAGCGTTTGGCGGCTTTGATAAAAGGCCCTTAACTGCTTGTGCCACTCAAGCCATCGGTGAGATAATGAGGGGCCATCAGCCCTACAGACAAGGACGCGCTCCGTCGGTCTCCTGCACTTTGGCAAGGGCCACGCAGGCCAGAAAGGGGCCGGGGAGCTTATTATGGGGCAGATAGTCGTCTCTTTTGTGACAATAAGAGGAAGTGAGATAATTGGGGGATTGAGGGAAACCACCCATGGAGACACCACTTAGCGGGAATCCCAAAACTGGAAGGAAACCTCTGCTGAGTCCTTATCGCTTTACAACGCGGAGGCAAATGATGGATTGCCCTGCGGTGCGGGGACACGCAGCAGTCAGAGGTTGTCCGAAGGGGTTGCTGCCATTTGGGCAGCTCGTTTGGGTTAGGTTTTGTCAAGGGGAAGAGGAATGGTGAGAGCTCAGCTCCTGGGGCAGAGGAGCACTGAGGCTGGAGCTCAGACTAAGGGACACCAAGGGTAAATGTGACCTCTTGTCCCATCACAACCACGGACAGGGTTTTGCATCCCGGCAGCTTGCATCCATAGCTCTGCATCAGTATGGGGACAGCAAGGGTGACACGGCTCACCTCTGACCTTAGGGGACACCCTGGGAGGCCTCTGCTACTCTTTATTCCCTGCCTGACAGCTAGCCCAAACCTAGCAGTCACCATTTCCCACTGCAGCTTTGACACAGGTTTTATGAGCACGAGGATGGAGGAATGCTCAGAAAATTATTCCTCCATTTTCCATTTGCCTTTTACACCAGGAAAATATTATGATTTCTCAATGTTTTGCCTTTGTACACATACACATGCCCCCACAACTGATGTTACAACACCTGGGGGATTCCCCAAGGCTGTGAGAGACCCCAATTTCCACTGCCCTCCTGCCCCATCTCCCAGCACTTCCCAGCATCCGCTACCTTTGCCCTGAGCCTTTTCTGCATGTCCCCAGTGTCCCCGGGGTTACACTGCTAAAAATAATGACGTGGCTGATAGGACAGTGCAGGGAAGCAGGAAGGGATCTGCTGTAGGAAGAGGCTACCAGGCTGGAGCAGTTCTTGGTGCATTTGCCACAGTGCGTGCTGTCTCCTGTTGGCTTTTCCTGTGCTAAAGCATGGAGGAAAGGGAAAGGGCAGCAATGATCTCCTGGCCACCCTGTAACGCTCTGCCCTGGAAATTCCCTATTCTTCTGAGGGTCTGGACTTGATCTGAGAGTTTTGCTACCTCAGCCTTGCAGCTGGGCACTCCTATTGCTTTGGGAGAGGAAGGGAGAGCCTGCCAAGTGCTTCTCCTGCCCGAGAACAATTATCCCCTCGCTACCCCCGGTCCTTCACGCCAGGACGAGCTCAGCAGTCAGCGTAAAGCACTCACAGTTGGATCCCTCAAGCTCTGTCAAAGCAGGTCAGTCGCGCCAGAGGGGAATGAACATGGATATCATGATTTTCAATCCCATGCCCCGCTCATTAGACCAGGCATTTAAGTGGAAATGCTTTCTGCATATGGGCAAATATCTCCCAACTGTGAGACTCTCGGTCCAAAACTGTGCAAAATCCAAGCTGTCAAGGTATCTACACTCAGAGATTAACCCCGTCTGAGGGACCATGGAGCCAGATAAGGCAGCTTTATCTCCTGCCACAGCTATCTTGCTGAATGTGGATTCAACTGGGGTGGAAGGTATGGCGACCCCTCCAAATAGCTCGCTCCCAGCCCAGCAGCAGGAAAGGGGATTTAGGCTCACACTGGTGAGATGATTTCCCCAGCCCAGCTCGGTGGATTGCCCTCACCCCTTGTGCATCTTCAAGTCCAACAGCAAGGGGAACACTACAGAATAATGCTGATGGTCATGCTAGGAAGGGGTGGGGGGAAGTCGCAAAGTGAGAGCATCCAAGCTCTGACCTTTTCTCTTGGTGCAGTGGTAGATCTGGCTGTGCTCCTGGGAGATCGGGTAGGGGTTGGCGGGCGGCAGCAGGTCCTGGGAGGTGCTCGACACCCCGTTCTCACACTGGTACTGGGAGCCCAGGTTGGAGGAGGCGGAAAGGACCCTGGTCTCACCACTGAAGGGGCTGTGATTTGAGGACACTTTCTGTCTCACCGTGCTCCTGGGAACAACCGGGTACTCCTTACTAAAAGCAAACAAACAAATAAAAAATACAAAGCAGAAAAGCAATCAATTAATAAATAGATCGGTGAATTAATAAACGAAGGCAGTACATTAGTGTCATGGTGTTTGAAGAGTCTTTCAGGGAAATAGAGACGTCCCTCCCAGGAGACTGCAGCCCCATCATGCTTTATCGCTGCAGCACTCTCCCCTTTCGCTTTCCCTTTAGTATCTTTCCCATTATGTTCTTGCTTCTTCAACCACTGCTGCTGTTTGACACACACACACACAAAATAGATACATGTCCTCTTAGCAAAATACGCAAGACTTTTATGTGAATATTGTAATAGCATTTATAAATCACGTACTATTTATATTGTGTATGGGAGCACACGTGTGAATAAAAACCTCATCTCTGCCAAGTTGCTTACAGGGAACCAAGCTGACTTGGAGATGGATTAAATATTTAGAACTACTTTTTCCCCTTTTGTTTATCGCCCCCATTCTTTTCCCCAGGCTCCTCCAGCCTGATTCTCCTGAGCAGGGGATCTCTGGGCCAGAGAACAAGCTCCTTTCCAGAGCGCTCAGGGAAGAGAAATAAATAAGTCACCGAGACCTGATGCATGCCAGAGCCACGTGCACGAATGGAGCCAGGCTGGGAGGGCAAGTGCTGATGGAAAGTCTGGTTTATTCACTTTTTTTGAAATCTGTTTTGGAGCATGGATGTTTTGCCAGCCCTGGCTACATACCCCTCTCCTACAAGCCCCTACAGTTCTGGAGACATTTCTCCAAGCACATCAGTAGACGAGGTTATTTCTGCTCTGTAGGACTGAGAAGTGAACAGGGGGGCTCAGAGACCTCAGGGGAGGTACTAACCTCCCTCTAGGTCTGCATTGCAAGCCAGCTAGGCACACACTGAACCCAAAGATTGCTGAAATGCCTTAAGAGCAGGTCACAGAGCAGCAACCTGTGAAGTGCCACTGGGATCAGAGAAGCCAGAGCCCAGGCTACAACACAAGCTCTCCTCTTCGAAGCTGCAGCCTTTGGACCAAAGAGGCTTTGGGGTACCCTACTCACCTGCCCAAGGCTGCTCTGCTGGGATGAGGACAGATCCTTAAATCCACCTTGAGTAGGCTCACCTGGCCACCTACACGTAGAGGAGAAGCCCCAAATCTCCTTTTAGGCCCCGTAGAAAGGACCTATTGCTGTAGAAACTCAGAATTTATTTACAAAATTTAACAATACCAATTATATAAACCTACTCACAGCAGGGAGCTTTCATCCAAACCACTGCTGCAGTGACTGCCAGAAATATTAGCAACCGAGCTGTTATGGAGGGGAAACTCACCCAGGAGCTCAAAACCAAATGAATGCATCTCTCATTGTGCCACAAAAGCTTTCCAAACCCCGGGCACTGGTGGCTTGCCAAGCAGAGGCTACTCAAAAATGGGGTCTCTTCCCCTGGATGCCCAGCAGCTCATCCCCACAGGAGCAGGGCTTTCCACCCACTTGGGCTGGCTGACCAGAAAGTTTTTTGTCCAGAAGTGAAGTCCAAGCTGTGCACAATGAATAAAGAGAGATGGACGGGGGAACCTGGGAGGAAGCAGAGACTTGTCCTTCTCATACACAAGGTAGCAATGGATGCCAGAGGATGCAGTGGGCTTCAGGAAACCTCTCCATCAGTGGACAGCCACCACTAGGGCTTTCATCCCAGGAGCTCTTGCTGGGAGGTGCAGGAAGGTTGAGAGCTATGGCCTTCAAACCTCTCAAGCAATCTCCAAATCTGCTTGGTGCTAGGAGGTCTCCCAGCCCTACTAGATCATGGTTTTCAGCTGGCTTCTCCTGCCATGCTCCATGTTCATGCAACAGTATTCATGGAGATGATGCTCCAAAGCTGCATCCTCACCACATTCCTCTTCTGAGGAGAAAAGCTGCCAAAAGGTGACACATCCCTCCCAAAAATTACAGTCTTGTTTATTTACTTAAAAACAAACAAAACAACAACAAAAACACAATGTGCCGCCTACAAGCTGCCATGGAGGAGGAGGAGGAGGACACGCTATGGCCTGATGTCACACCATGTTTTCTGTGGCTTTTTTGGAGGATGCCAAGGTAACTGCTGTCATAGTTTCTTGCTGCTTCAGTGCTGGGAGATTTGGATGTCTCCTTTGGACAGAGTCATCCTCACCCCCTTTGCAAGTGGGGTTAGATCTGCATGGGCATTTTCTACACCACAGGAATGAACTCTCCTGGTAGCTCACAGGGACCTCCACCAATGTCAGCTGCCTTGCTCTGCAAAGCACCACCCAAACACTGAGAACAGCCCCCAGCTGGACACTGCTCACCTAAATCAATGCTTTCTGACCCAATAGAGAGCTGGGGGAGCAGGGGAAGAAACAAACAAACAAACAAAAAACAAACAAACAAAAAAAAAAAACAAGGTTGTTTCTCACTGAATAAAAGTTTTCTTTTCTATAATAGAGGTGAATGCCTTAAACTGCAATGTTTTTACCCTGGAGCGCCAGCACAGGTGGTGTCAGAGTCCCACACTCCTGCTGTGCACTGAGAACCAAATTTTTCCCTGACTGCATTTCCCCAGTGAAACCACAGCCCCCGTGGCTGTCAGAAGGAGCGTGGAGCAGCCAGACTCGTGCTGGAGCCAGCACAGGTTGGAAGCACCAAGTTTCCAAGCAGCAGCTCCCAGGAGGCACCGCTAGGACTTCTCTCGGACCGAAATATTTCCATCTCAGTCAAAACATGTTGGGTGCTATTTTTGCCAAAAAATGAACTATTTGAGAGGGAGAGGAAGGAAAGTATTTTCTAACTAAATATCAAAAGTATTTTCTTCCTTTCGCTTTGTTTTTCTATGCACAAAGGCAGTTATCTCCACATTTCTACATTTTTTCTTCCTTACAGGAGCTGCACTCTAATAAAAAGATTGCTTTGGTACCTTAAAACACAACAGTCATCTTGAAACATTTATACTGTTTCCTGAGTGCACGATATGGAGCGTGTGCAGCTACCATTTTATATTGTCCTTTGGTCTTTAAAAATGTATCAGATTTTTTTTTTCAGTGCCTAAAAGTCACTATTCCCAAAATAGCTGGTTGTAATCCTGGGCCACAGTTTAATGGAATGAAAGGTTTTGTTCACTGCTGGCACAAAATGATTGTTGTGTCCAGAACAGCTGCTGTCCAAAAAAAATGCAGAGAGGTTGGGAGGAGGAAAAAAAAAAAAAATGAGACTGACTTAACACTAGCAATATAGGCAGTTGTCCATGCGGCACGGGACAGACCGCTGTTCCTGAGCCAGAATGCAAGTTACAGTTTCATATTTATGTGTTAATGAATGATTTTTTTTTTCTCTCGTTGAAAATTATAAAATTGGAAGAAAAGGAAAAGTTGGTTGGGGAAAGAATTTACGAGGAAGGAAGCTGTCACTGGTCTATTTAAAGTCGGTGAGTGGCTAACGATGAATATTCGGATACTGTAGTTCGTGTACTACGATAGCAGAGGGGCACTGGGAGGAAGGGAGAGTTGTGCTGGGCAAGGTGGAAACCTGTCCCATTTTCACATCTCGTGACATCTTCCCCAGCCAAATGACACCTTCACCAGGACAGACTCAGGAGCTGGATGAGGCCACTTATGCCACACATTCACATCTAGCAAAGGATTTAGAGGAGGAAGTTCAATGTGGTTTTGTAATCTCACAGCTGGAAACCTCAGTGGCCTCTGCAAACCAATAAAAACTGTGAAAAAATGAGAAATCTTCAGAGAGCGGCATCCAGCCCATTTTCTTGCTTATCGCTATGTTGTAAGAGACTAATAATTTTCAACATATTTTCATGTGCAGACTTGAAGTTTCCTAATGTACTAGCCAGCGCATAGTAAATGCGGCTGGCAGACAAAAGAAAAAAGTTAAAAAGCTCTTCAAAAATCCACAGTTTATAACTGGGAAGCTTCCATGTTACAACACCCAGTCCCTAGTGGCCCTAAGCAAATGGTTTAAGAAGGTGCTTCTGATTTTTCCCTAACAAAGCAAATATATCAAGGCTCTCCAGAGTTGTTGTAGCTCATGGAAACAAGACTTCAAAAGAGCTATTAAATATCAGCCCTCAAGGACCATGCCAATACCTCCACAAGGGGCATGAAATGAAAGGGGATTTCCCCATGGTTGTGCTGCCATGTTCTCACAGCATCCTTTGGAGACCCAAATCTGGTGTTTGTCTAGATCTTGTTCACGGTGACAATTCCTAGTCTAAAGGCTGTTTTATCATGTATCAAGTGGCCAAGACCAGACATTCCCCTTCACTCTTTCCCAAGTGTCATGAGATTTTTAGCTCCTACAAGCACTCGTTATAGAAGGACAAATGCCTGCTGTCCTACCAGCCCTGCACTCTCCATCCGCTCAGCACCCACGGCTGCAGCATTGCAGAATCACACCCTCACTGCAGATGTTCAAACATGACTCAAAGGCATTTGATTTTGTATTTCCCAGGCCACCAATTTTTGTCCTTCCTGCTGAGACTTGAGAGTGGGAAAGAAATGGAAGTCAGCCACAAAAGATATAGAGAGAGGAAGAAAAAAAAAAAAAAAAAGTGACTGGAATAAATATAACACCTCCCAGGAAAAAAATAAACCAGCAAACAATTGTCAATTGTCACTGCGTGTTCATTTCAGCTTATTTCCAACATATTGTAATAAAATTGAACCACTCTCAGGAGACTGCCTGGAGAGCTCGAGGTGGATAATCTACAGTGTGAGAGGACCTGCTGAGAGAGGGACTCCTGAGTAATTCCTTCACTCTTACCTCAAATCAAATACGAGCTCTCTGTGCATGGGGACCATAGGCCGGCCCCACAAAAAAATAATGCCCTAGGCTGGATGGCTAGGAAAACAATGCAAAACATCCACAGGGAAACACAGAAGGTTGTGCACAGCAGCATGCTCCACCAGCATACCAAATGTCCTGAGCTGAACACATGGAGAGGGTTCAACTACTCTGGGTGCAAGTTACAAACCAGTG